TAAAACACACTGCGGCTTTTGCCTTGCTCTCCTGAATTACTTACATTGTGGGAATCCAGCTTCCATATCATGAGGATACTCAAGCAGCCTTATGGAAAGATCCCTGTGGTAAGAAACTGAGGCTTCTTGCCAACAGTTAGCACTCAGCTGCCTACCATGGTAGGAAGAGGAATCTCCAGCCCTAATCAAGATTTCAGGCCAGGCATGGTGGCTCACACCTGTAATCCCAGCATTGTGGGAGGACAAGGCAGGGGGATTGCTTGAGCCTAGGAGTTCAGGAACAGCCTGGGCAACATAGGAAGACCCTGTCTTTACAAAAAAAATTTAAAATTAGCCAGGCATGGTGGCACATGCCCATAGTCCCAGCTACTCAGGAGGCTGAGGTGGGAGGATCACTTGAGCCCAGGAGATCGAGGCTGCAGTGAGCTGTGATTGTGCCACTGCACTCTAGCCTGGGTGACAGAGTGAGACCCTGTCTCAAAAAAAAAAAAAAAAAGACTTCAGATGACTGTTTACATGGTCATCTTCTTAATCGCAGCTTCATGAGACCAGAACAACCTAGCTAAACTTGCTCTTGAATTGCTGAAAAGATATAAAATGATAAATGTTTGTTCTTTAAAAAAAAAAAAAATCAAGAGAGTACTAGAAGATGAGGATGGACAGATCATAGAGTGCATTCAGGCTTAGATTTTTATCCAGCCAACTGGGAGTGTTTTCCTTGTACTCCACAATGACCCCTAAATGAAATCAGATGGGGAGGAAGGAGGAGTCCTTAATGGATTGGGCTAGACTCCTCCCTACTCAGAACAGCTTTCTGCTTATCAGTCTTATTTATTTATACTTCTGGGTAAGAATTTAATTAAAGAAAGGATTTTTCATCTAAAAATGTTTGAAAGGCATTGCTATAAGTGATGAAGAGTCACTAACAGATTTGAAGCAGGTGACTTGACATAATGTGTATTTCAGATAATTCAAGCAGTAGAGGATAGACTGAAGAAGAGCAAAACTATAGACCAAAAGACCAGGTAAGAGGCCACTTCAGTAGTCTAAGCAAGTGATTCTGGGTACTGGAATAATGGCAGTGCAGCAGGGCTGAACAGGAGGAGGCAGCCACAAAAGAGACTAGAAGGCAGAATCGACAGTACGTGGTGAGTGACTAGATGTATGCAGGGGATGATGGGATGGTGGGGACAGGTGAGACAAAGAGAGACTGACTCCTAGATTTCTCGCTGGGGCCACTGCACGAATCCTTGTGTCATCATAAGAAGAAGGAAAAGAAGGACTAGTATTTGGCTAATAGTAACAGAGACCTGACTGCAATGGCTTCAACAAAAGAGCTTGTTCTCTCATGTAAAAGACATCAGGAGGAAGGCAATTCTGAGCACTGGTTGAGACCCAAGGATAGCAGGGCAAAGGCTCTGCAATTCTTGTGGCCTCTCCTTCCCAGTCTCAGACTGGCTGCTAGTACTCCAATTATCATGTCCATTTCCTAAGAAGCAGGATGGAATAAGGATAAAAGGGTAAAAAAGGCTTGAGGTCACCCATCAACTGACATCTACTTCCATCTCTTTTGCTTGGCCAAAGCTAAGTCATATTCAGAATCTTAGTTGTTGTGGGGAAGGGGACTGGAATATGCACCCTAACTTTACAGACACTCATGTATAGGAGGGTGTAGCAGAAGAGTGTCAGAGTGGTGCTGAGTGAATCAATCTGTGGTATTGTCCACAGTAGAGAAATGATGAGTTTGGCCTTCATCATGTTGGATCTGAAAGGTAGGACATCAGGTAAAGAGGTAGAGTAGGCAACTGGCTATACAGTTCTGGGATACAGGAAGGCACAGTAGGCAGATTTAGATTTTATCATCAGCATAAGTGTAACTAATGCCATGTAAGGTGACAAGAATGCCCAAGGAAGGCATAAAGAGAGCAGGGACAAAAGCAAGATCAGAACCGTGTGGAATACCAATACTTGAGGGGCAGGCAGAAGAAAAAGAATCCAAAGGATTGAGAAGGCCAAAGAAGGAGAAGGAGGCTCACAAGAGCAGTTTCACATGGTGAAACCCTGTCTCTACTAAAAATACAAAAAGTAGCCAGGCATGGTGGTACACAACCGTAATCCTAGCTACATGGGTGGCTGAGGCAGGAGGATTACTTGAATCCAGGAGGCAGAGGTTGCAGTGAGCTGAGATCGCGTCACTGCACTCCAGCTTGGGCGACAGAGCGAGACTCCATCTCAAAAAAAAAAGAAAGAAGGAAAGAAAACACGTAGCTAGATGTCAGCCTATAGCTTTTTCTGGTTCAACACTAAAGTTTCATAAGGGCAGGATTCTTTGCTGTTTACTGGTTGTACTGGATTAGATAGTGACCCTTAAAAATTCACATTCTGGCCGAGCACAGTGTCTCATGCCTGTGATCCCAGCACTTTGGGAGACCGAGGTGGGAGGATCACTTGGGTCCAAGAGTTTGAGACCAGCCTGGCCAACATGGTGAAAACCCGTATCTACTAAAAATACAAAAACTAGCCAGGCATGGTAGCATGCACCATCTCAAAAAAAAAAAAAAGAAAGGAAAAAGAAAAAAAATTCACATCCATCCAGGAACCTCGGAATGTGACCTTATTTGGAAATAGTGATGTTGCAGATACAGTTAGTTAAGTTAAAATGATGTCATACTGGAGGAGGATGGGCCCTTAATCCAATATGATTGGTGCCCTTCTAAGAAAAGAATAGGCAAAGGGACAATACCATGTGATGATACAAGCACTGACTGGAGTGATGCATTTACATTACAAGCCAAGGAATGCCAAGGATTGCTGGTAAACGCCAAAAACCAGGAATGAGGCAAGGAAGGATTCTCCCCTACAATCTTGAGAGACAGCATGGACTTACCAACACCTTGATTTCAGACTTCTAGCCTCTACAACTATTAAACAATTTCTATTGTTTTAGGCCACCCAGTTTGTAGTACTTTATTTTTTTTATTTTTTGAGACAGAGTCTTACTCTGTCACCCAGGCTGGAGTACAGTAGCACAATCTCAGCTCACTGCAACCTCTGCCTCCCCATTCAAGCAATCCTCCTATCCCAGCATCCCGAGTAACTGGGATTACAGGCACACGCACCACCATGCCCAACTAAATTTTGTATTTCTAGTAGAGATGGGAGTTCACTACGAACTCCCGGTCTCAAGTGATCCACCCACCTCAGCCTCCCAAAGTGCTGGGATTACAGGCATGAGCCACCACACCCAGGCTGTAGTACTTTATTATGGCAGCTCTAGAAAACTAATACACTGGAATATTCCAGACTTCTAGGATAGTATCTGGAACACAGTAGGAACTCAGTAAATGAAATATTTGTTGCATGAATAGATGGATATTTTAATTCCTAGGATTGACCTTTCCATGACTTCTAGCACCTGCTGGTAACCATTCCCTAGTCACACCCGCACACACTTCTTGATACTCTCTCCTCTGTTTTCCACATCACCAGGTTCTTCTGGTTCTGTTCCAATTCTTTTGTCTGCCTTTTAAATATTCAGTCCTCTCTGCTTGCTCCACACTCTGTAATTTTATCCCTTCCCAGGTTTCAATTTCCCATATATACCAAGGACTCCCAAATCTAAAACAGAGCTAACCACATCACACTGCTGCTTAAAAAACAGAGATGGGCCGGGTGCGGTGGCTCACGCCTCTAATCCCAGCACTCTGGGAGGCAGAGGCAGGTGCATCGTCTGAGGTCAGAATTTCGAGACCAGCCTGGCCAACATAGTGAAACCCCATCTCTACTAAAAATACAAAAAATTAGCCAGGCGTGGTGGCAGGTGCCTGTAATCCCAGCTACTCGGGAGGCTGAGGCAGGAGAATCACTTGAACCTGGGAGGTGGAGGTTGCAGTGAGCCAAGATCACACCATTGCACTCCAGCCTGGGCAACAAGAGCAAAACTCTGTCCAAAAAAAAAAAAAAACAAAAACGGAGATGGCTCTTCATTGCTTACAGATTAAGGCCAAACTTGACCACTTCAGTACTTTACTCTGTCCTCACCCTAGTATGCATCAACCCCTTCCTGTAAAGTAACCTGTGCTCCAGTCACAAAGGACAATTCAGGTTTCTAAAGCACATCATGTTTGATGTTTTTAATGCTTCCATATTCCTTCCACCCGGAATGCTCTTCATTCCCTTCATCTACTTGGTGAAATCCTAGTTCAGGCTAAACACAAATGCCATCATCTTTTGAAGACTTTCCTGGCCACCATTCAGGACAAATGACCCACTCCCACCTGTTTTTCCTTGTGTTCAGAAGACCATCACAACAGGAGTCATTCCCTCAAAGTCACGAGCTCTTTAATGGTAAAAATCATACCTTATTCATCTTCACAGATCCAGTACCTAGCTCAGTGCCTGGCACATGGTATGCTCCACAAGATTACAGGTTGAATGAACTCATTCAAACCTGTACATTGTAAACAAACTACAGCTATCAAATGGCAATGGAGGGGCCGGGCACAGTGGCTTACGCCTGTAAACCCAGCACTTTGGGAGGCCAAGGAAGGAGGATCACTTGAGGACAAGAGTTCGAGACCAGCCTGGCCAACATGGTGACACCTCGTCTCTACTAAAAATACAAAAATTAGCTGGGCGTGGTGGTGCACGCCTGTCATTCCAGCTATCAGGGAGGCTGAGGTAACAGAGTTGCTTGAATCTGGGAGGTGGAGGTTGCGGTAAACCGAGGTCACACCACTGCACTCCAGCCTGAGCAACAGAGTGAGCGAGACTCTATCTCAAAAAAAAAAAAAAAAAAAAGCAATGGAATCACATCTGAGCACCATTTCAACAAAGCACAATAAAGATATTACTACATTAACAGAAGTTAGAAAACCACCACAAATGTCAAAGTATTGGGCCCAACTGACCTGTTCAACAATAGATGTGATATTTATATTATTCAGAAACAGACTCCAACACAATAGGGAAATCCTAAACAGGGAGCATCAACCTCTTACCTCCGCAGATACATAGTCTCCTCGTCTTCTGTGTTACAAAACTTATGGGCATGTTTGGCAGCATCAATCACACGGGACCGGTCCCGGGGCCTCATGGGCAATTTCTCTAACTGGCAGTCTGAAGGAATGGAGAGATTTGGTCACTAGAGTCACAGCAAAATATAGCAAATGAGTCACTGCAAAATATCCTGAGAAGTTTTGAATGGGGTCTCTAGCACTAGAATTTTCTACTGCAATTACTATGCTTATTGAAACCTATTACCGAATGTTCCGACTAAAACTGACTTTCTGTCAGGAGACCTTGGTATTTGGTCCCAGCTCTGCTACTACCCTGGTGATCTTTGGCAAATCACTTCCTCCTTCAGAGACTTTTGCCTCATTTGAAAGATGAGTAGATGATATTATCTCAAAAGTCCTTCCCAGTACTGCAATTCAGGTTTCTATGAAGATTTCTGTGATCATAGTACACTTGGTTTGTGTTATAATGCATTAGAATCAGAAGACACAATCAAGCATACTGGAATGCCTACGAGGAAGCACTGGGAAAAGTGGGTGTGTGCTAAGAAAAGGAGAGAGGCTGGGCGTGGTGGCATGCACCTACAGTCCCAGCTACTGAGAAGAATGAGGCAGGGCAATTACTTGAGACCAGGGGTGCAATGCTGTCATGTCCCATGATTCTGCCTGTGAATAGCCACTGTACTCCTGCCTGGGCAACACAGCGAGACCCTGTCTCTGTTTAAAAAAAAAAAAAAAAGAGGCCAGGCAAGGTGGCTCACACCTGTAATCCCAGCACTTTGGGAGGCCAAGACGGGCAGATCACCTGAGGTCAGTAGTTCAAGACCAGCCTGGCACAGCTACTTGGGAGGCTGAGGCAAGAGAATCGCTTGAACCCAGGAGGCAGAGGTTGCTGTGAGCCAATATCACGCCATTGCACTCCAGCCTGGGCAACAGAGCGAGACTCCGTCCAAAAAAAAAAAGGTGGGGGAGAGAGAGGGTAAGTGATTATATAGTATACAAATGATCCATCCTAGTTGGAGGAATTTTAATCTGAAAACAATGAAAACACAGTAAACAAATTAGGTACAGTTGTAAAACAGATTGAAAATTGATATAATGGGTCAGGCGCGGTGGCTCACGCCTGTAATCCAGCACTTTGGGAGGCCGAGGTGGCAGTGGATCACCTGAGGTCAGGAGCTCGAGACCAGCCTGACCAATATATAGTGAAACCCTGTCTCTACTAAAACATACAAAAATTAGCGGGGCATGGTGGCACACACCTGTAGTCTCAGCTACTTGGGAAGCTGAGGCAGAAGAATCACTTGAACCCGGGAGGCAGAGGGTTGCAGTGAGCTGGGATCACACCACTGCACTCCTGCCTGGGCAACAGAGCAAGACTCCGTCGCTCAAAAAAAAAAAAAGAAAAAAAAGAAAATTTATGTAACGCAAATTAAATACCTAAAGGATAACAGAGAAAGTCAAGTGGTCAGAGTAATTCAAGATGAATAGAGGAGATGAAGAGAGGAGTTAGAGAACGTTACACAGTTTACGTGTCAGCTCATTTACTCTTCACAATGAATGGTTAAAGTAGAGATTTGTTGTTTCTGTTTTAAAGATGAAGGAACTGAAGTTAAAAAGGGTAAGAGATACACCATGCATCTAATAAGAAGCAGAACAAGAATTCAGATCCAACTCTAAGTGATTCAAAAGCCCATGCTGTTTTCACCACACCTCCTTACCAAGAATTAATTTCTTGGATAAATATGTGAGGGCCCTCTAGGTAGCAGGCACTATTCTAACACTGTGCTGAAGATTCAGCAAACAACAAAGCAGATAAAGTCTCCCCCCTGGCCAGGCACGGTGGCTCACGCCTGTAATCCCAGCACTTTGGGAGGCCGAGGCCGGCAGATCACCTGAGGTCAGGAGTTCCAAGACTGGCCTGACCAACATGGAGAAATCCCGTCTCCACTAAAAAAATACAAAATTAGCTGGGCATGGTGGTGTATGCCTGTAATCCCAGCTACTTGGGAGGCTGAGGCAGGAGAATCGCTTGAATCCGGAAGATGGAGGTTACAGTGAGCTGAGATCACGCCACTGCACTCCAGCCTGGGCTACAAGAGCTAGACACTGTTTCAACAACAACAAAAAAAGTCCCGGCCCTGATGCAGCTTCCATTCTAGTGGAAGAGGCAACATATTTTAAAATAATTATAATATGATCTTGGGCAATGGTTAAGTGCTAAATATTAAGCAGGGTAAGAGGACAAAGTGACAGGGATGCTGTTTTAGATAAGGTAATCAGGGAAGGGTTATCTAAGGAAATGACATTTCAGCAGAGACCTGAATGAAGTAAGGAGGGACTGAGGGAAAAGTTTTTGGGGCAGAAGAAATACCAATTCCAAAGGCACTGGGGGGCCGGAACACTTTTGACATGATGGAGAAAAAGCAAAAAGGCCACTGTGGCTGAAGTGCAATGAGCAAGGGGAAGACTGTTAGGGGATGAAGCCTGAGAGGTAGCCACAGGCCTGATCAAGGGTCTTGGTATGGATGGACTTTGGTTTTATTCTCAGTCTTATATGAAACCATTGGTTTTGAACAGGACTCTGGCTACTATGTAGAAAACAGTGGAAGCAACGAGAGCAAGAGACTATGGTGCCAATCCAGGTGAAAGATGGTAGTAGCTTGGACTACAGTGTTAGAAGTGGAGGTGGTAGGCTGGCCACGGTGGCTCACACCTGTAATCCCAACACTTTGGGAGGCCTAGGTGGGTGGATCACTTGAGGTCAGGAGTTCAAGACCAGCCTGGCCAACATGGTGAAACCCCATCTCTACTAAAAATACCAAATTAGCCAGGCGTGGTGGCACATGCCTGTAATCCCAGCTAGTAGGGAGGCTAAGGCAGGAGAATCACTTGAACCTGGGAGGCGGAAGTTGCAGTGAGCTGAGATCGCGCCATTGCACTCCAGCCTGGGCAAGAAGAGTGAAACTCCGTCTCAAAAAAAAAAAAAAATTTAGCCAGGCCTGGTGGCCCGTACTACCTGAGAGGCTGAGGCAGGAGAATCGCTTGAACCCGGGAGGCGGAGGTTGCAGTGAGCTGAGACCGCGCCACAGCACTCCAGCCTGGGTGACAGAGTTGAGACTCTGTCTCAGAAAAAAAAAAAGAATGGAGGTGAAAAGAAGTAGTCAGATTCTGCATAATTTTCATGAAAGCACCTGTAGGATTTCCTTATGGACTGGACAGATGTAAGGTATGTGACAGAGAGAAGTCAAGACTGATTCCAGGTTTTGGTCTGAGATACTGGATGAATAGTGATACTACTGACTGCAATAGGGATGACTGTAAGAGAAACAATTGGAGAGCGGGTGTAGAGGGTCATGAATTCAATTTTCAGCACGATATGTTTGAGAGGCCCATTAGACATTCAAGTGGAGATGTTGAATAGGCAATTGAAGTCTGAGGAGAGGTGCAGGTTAAAGATGAACATCTGGGAGTTACCAGCACGTCGGTTGTATTTAAAGCTTAGGAATGAATGAGATCACCTAGGGGGTGGGTACAGAGTGAGAATAGGTGAGAGTACTGAGCTATATGGCCTAGGAATGCCTAAAAATCTGAGAGAGAAAAGGGAGCCAGACAAGAAGGGGAAAAATCTAAGGCCAGGCGTGGTGGCTCACGCCTGTAATCCCAGCACTTTGGGAGGCCAAGGCGGGTGGGTCACCTGAGGTCAGGAGTTCCAGACCAGTCTGGCCAACGTAGTGAAACCCTCTCTACTAAAAATACAAAAATTAGCCAGGCGTGGTGGCGGGCGCCTGTAATCCCAGCTACTCATGAGGCTGAGGCTGGAGAATCACTTGAATCCGGGAGGCAGAGGTTTCAGTGAGCCGAGACTGCGCCACTGCACTCCAGCCTGGGCGGCAGAGTGAGACTCCATCTCAAAAAAAAAGGAAGAAAAAAAAAAAAGAAGAAGAAGAAGGGGAAAAATCTGAGGTAGGAGGAAAATCAGGTGAGTATGGAGTCTTGGAAGCAAATAAAAAACGTGTTGCAAAAAGAATGAAATGATTACCTCTGTTAAATGCCACTGAGAGAAGAATTAAAATGAACATTGATAACTGACCACTAGAACTGTTAACACGGAGTTCAGTTAGTAATTCTGCCAAATACGGTTAAGATGATGAGGTGGGAAGGAAAGCCTACCTGAAGTGAGGCCAGGAGAGAATGAGAAGTCAGGATGCAGAGACAGCCAATATAGGCAACTCTTTTGAGAAACTTTGCTATAAAAGAAGCAACGAAATGGGGTTATAGCTGGAGGTGAATACAGGATCAAGGGAGGGTTTTATTTTTGTTTGCTGTAACGTAAGAGCAACTGCAGCATCTTGGTATCCAGCAGAAACATTATAAAGTTTCTAGAGGCAGTAGTTTTTGAAGACAGTGGATTAAGAGGGAAATACTGTGTTTCTATTTTTGTTTTCCTGAAGGAGTTTAGTTTTGAGGAAGGTCTGGATACAGAATCACAAGGCTAAACAAAAAACAGGAAAAAAAAAATGCCCTGGAGTGGGGCGGGGATGTGTAGGGAGGATTTCGTCGGAAAGAGAAAACCCACCAATCTTCGTTGAGAAGTGGTTCCCAGATCAGTCAGAGGAAATTCGCCTTCAAGAACCCGAAGTCTGGCTCCTGGCAGACGCCCCCGCAGTTCCCAGCTACTCACCCAGCACTAGGACCATCTGGCCGCACAAACAGTAGTAAACATGGAGGGGCTTCTCGCCGTCGTCATATTCCTCCCGGTCCCGAGTGTCAGAGCAGACTACTGACCGAGACACTACTTTCGGCATGGTTCCCAGGAGCAATCTGAAGACTCTACGCCAAGAAGAGGGTCGCGCCGAAATGACGTCACAAGCGCGCCTTGAACCTTTTCCCTGTGGCTGCGCTGGTCACGTGTTAGTAGAAGTCTTATAAACTTCCGGGCTGTCCTATCAGGATAAGATATACAGGGGTGCGCGTGGAGCTTCCCAGAACCTACTTTGTCTTGGCCAAGTTAGCTGGGACTCCTGTGATCTGGGAGTCGCTTCTCAATGAAGATTGGTGGGCACCCTTAATATTATATAAATTATTCACATTTCTATAACGCATGAATTTATATGTATATATACACATATGTATGTATAAGACCAGCTAAATAAAGAACTATCATTATATAGTCTATATTATATATATATGATACTGACTTAGGTGTGTTTCTAAATATGATTTTGATTTTAATGACTATTCCGGATGAGTACCTAATTTTTTAGGTATCTTATTTTTTTAGTTGATATCATTCACATAACATAAAATTCACCTTTTAAAATGTGTTATTGAGTGGTTTTTAGTGTATTCACAAAGTTGTGTAACCATCACCACTAATTCCAGAACATTTCCATCATCTCAAAAAGAAATCTTATACCCATGAGTAGTCACCACCACCCCTACCCCCCAACTTCCCAGCCTGCGGCAACCACTAATCTACTTTTTATCTCTGTGGATTTGCCTATTCTGGACATTTCATATAAATGGAATCCTACAATATGTGGCCATTTGTCCGGCTTCTTTCATTTACCATAATGTTTTCAAGGTTCATCCATGTTACAGTACTGCTTTCCTTTTTATGGCTGAATAATATTTCATCATATGGATATGATGGATACATTTTGGATACACATGGATACATTTTGTTAATCCATTCATCAATTGTCGGACAACGGAGATGTTTTCACTTTTTGGTTATTATATAGATAATGCTGCTATGAACATTCATGTACAAGAATACTTCCGCCGCAAATTTGTGTGGGAATATAACTCTGGATTTTTAACTTTTGACAGCACGAGAAGTGATTAAAGCACCTTGACATTGTGATTCAAACAATGTTAAATGTCATTGAGTAGCTAGGATTACAGGCACGCAGCACCACACCCAGCTATTTATAGATGGGGTTTTGCCATGTTGGCCAGGCTGGTCTTGAACTCCTGGCCTCAACTAATCTGCCTGCCTCGACCTCCCAAAGTGCTGAGATTACAGGTGTAAGCCACTGCACCCGGCCTAGAAAATTTTCAATCTCAGCCCTGTGCTCAAGAAAGTCTCAAAACCTCACCGCTTTTGAATTGCTATTCATAGGGCAAGTCAGAAATATTTAACTTATGTTTCCGGAAAAAAAACAAAAAATGGAACTGACAATGGTTTAATCCATGAGAGTGAATGAACTTTGCAGTTTTGTTTTTTCTTTCTTTTTTTTTTTTTTTTTAGATGGAGTCTTGCTCTGTCACCCAGGCTGGAGTGCAGTAGCACCATCTCAGTTCACTGCAACCTCCGCCTCCTGGGTTCAAGCAATTCTCTGCCTCAGCCTCCTGAGTAGCTGGGATTATAGGCGCCCGCCACCATGCCCAGCTATTTTTTTTTTAGTTTTAGTAGAGATGGGGATTCATCATGTTGGCCAGACTGGTCTTGAACTGCTGACCTCATGATCCACCCGCCTTGGCCTCCCAAAGTGCTGGAATTACAGGTGTGAGCCACCGCACCCGGCTGAACTTCACTGTTGACACTGCTCTCAACAATAACGCAAGATAGATTCAAGTTTTTTGTTTTATTTATTTTTTTTGCAAAGTACCCGCTGTTACTTTTTTTGCAAAGTACCCAATTAATAACTATAGGATTTTAAACAACTTACATTTTGACAAGTATTGTACATTTGTCTAAGCCTTTTCTGCTCCATACATATCTGTAATACATCTTAGCAGATTCTGCTTTAGACTGAATTGAATTAGTATTTTCTTGATTTCTTTGAAAATACTCCCATCTGCAGTTGTTCTACACAGACCATACACACAGGCCAATTTTTTTTTTTTTTTTTTTTTTTAAGACGGAGTCTTGCTCTGTCACCCAGTCCGGAGTGCAGTGGCACAATCTTGGCTCACTGCAACCTCTGCCTCCCAGGTTCAATCGACTCTCCTGCCTCAGCCTCTTGAGTAGCTGGGATTACAGGCGCGTGCCACCATGCCTGGCTAATTTTGTGTGTGTGTGTACGTGTGTGTGTGTGTGTGTGTATTTTTGTATTTTTAGTAGAGGCAGGGTTTCACCATGTTGGCCAGGCTGATCTCAAACTCCTGACCTCAAGTGATCTGCCCACAGTGGCCTCCCAAAGTGCTGAGATTACAGGCGTGAGCCACCGTGCCCGGTCCAATTCTTCAGTCACTTTAAACTCAACATTGACTCCTTGAGTAAAAAACAAAAACTAAGCAATACTGGCAAACATTCAATTCGTTAGGAACCAAGGAAAATCACTTGAAATCATTTGCTTTGTTTTTGTTTTTGTTTTTGAGACAGAGTCTTGCTCTGTCACCCAGGCTAGAGTGCAGTGGCATGATCACAGCTCACTGCAGTCTCAAACTCCTGGGCTCAAGTGATCCTCCCACCTTAGACTCCCTAGTAGCTGGGACCACAGGTGCACACCACCACACCAGCTTTATTTATTTATCTATCTATTTATTTATTTATAGAAGCAAGGTATTTCTATGTTGCCCAGGCTGTTCTTGAACTCTTGCGCTCAAGCAATCCTTCTGCTGCAGGCTTTCAAAGTGCTGAGATTACAGGTGTGCCCCACCGTGCCTTGCCCTTTTTTTGTTTGTTTGTTTTTGTTTCTGTTTTGTTTTGATGTTGCTTTCAATGTCCTCAACTCTTGGAGCCACTGTTCTTGCTGAAAGGTGAATAGTCTTCAACAGGTTTTATTTTTCTTGAGCATATTTCTTTGATTTCTGCAACCGAACACAGTTTAGCTCAATATCAGTAAATGACTTTCCTTGCTTGGCTAACAAAGGAGCCACTCAGAAACTTACTTTGGCTACAGGCTTATTTTTATTTTTTACTTTTTTTTTTTTTTTTAGATGGAGTCTCCCTCTGTTGCCCAGGCTAGAGTGCAGTGGCATGATCTTGGCTCACTGCAACCTCCACCTCCCAGGTTCAAGCAATTCTCCTGCCTCAGCCTCCTGAGTAGCTGGGATTATAGACGTGTGGCACCGCACCCAGCTAATTTTTGTAATTTTAGTAGAGATGGGGTTTTACCATGTTGGCCAAGCTGACCTCCAACTCGTGACCTTGTGATCCGCACACCTCAGCCTCCCAAAGTGCTGGGATTACAGGCATGAGCCAATGCGCCTGGCCTATTTTTTAGTTCTATAATGAATTTTGCTAAAATAAGATATTCTACTTAAAAATTTAAATTGTACTGGCCATTGCTCTCCTCTGAGTTGGGAATATTGTGATGAATGCTTAGTCTGGTAACGTTGATGTACATTATAATATTGTAGCAATGTGATGGTGTCATTGTGTAATAAACACAATGCTCCCACATCTAATTTGGCAATTAAGTAATCCACACTCCATTGTACCTTAAAAGCAAGACCTTCAAAGCCCACTTTCTTTACTTTTGACACAATAGGTATGCACTTGTAACTTTTTTAAATGCCATGGTAGATACATGTGGTATTCAATACACTGTGGAGTTATGCTGCATTCCTGCAATTTGTAGTACTTGGAGCAGCAGTATGAGGTGATGAGAGCACCACACACAGCCTCTGTCACTCACCTCTGCCATTGTAGCACAGATGCAGCCACAGCCAATACAGTAGGCCCTCCACATCTGTGGATGCAGGACTCACAGATACGGAGGGCCAAATGGGGGACTTTAGCATCTGTGGATTTTGGTATCTGAGACAGACCCTGGAACCAATCCCCTGTGGATACCAAGGGATGACTGTGCATAAATGAAAGAAAATGGCTGTGTCCCAGTAAAACTTTATTTATGGGCATTGAAATTTGAATTTCATGTAATTTTCTTTTATTTATTTATTTATTTATTTAGAGATGGAGTCTCGCTGTCTCCCAGTCTGGAGTGCAGCGGCCCGATCTCTGCTCACTGCAAGCTCTGCCTCCCAAGTTCATGCCATTCTCCTGCCTCAGCCTCCCGAGTAGCTGGGACTACAGGCGCCTGCCACCACGCCCGGCTAATCTTTTGTATCTTTAGTAGAGATGGGGTTTCACCGTGTTAGTCAGGATGGTCTCAATCTCCTGACCTCGTGATCCGCCCACCTCGGCCTCTCAAAGTGCTGGGATTACAGGCATGAGCCACCGAGCCCGGCCAAATTTCATGTAATTTTCATGTGTTACAAAATATTATTAAATCTTTTGACTTTTTTCAACCGTTTAAGAATATAGAAAACCATTCTTAGTTTGTAGGCCATAGACAAATAATGGCAGGTTAGATTTGGCTGTAGTTTGCTGAGCCCTGGTCTGGTGGATGTGGCTGGTTTGACTGAATTCCCATATACAACATGGTAGACATGTGTATTAGTTTCATATTACTGCTGTAACAAGTTACCACAAACTTGGTGACTTAAGACAACACAAATTTATTACCTTAGAGTTTTGGACATCAGAAGTCCAAAACCAGTATCAGCGGTCTAAAGTCAAGGTGTCAGCAGGTCTGATTGCTTCTGGGGGCTTCAGGCTTCCATCTTTTGCCTCTTCCTACTCCTACTGCAGACATACTTTGGCTCCTTCACTGATGGCCACATCACTCCAGTCTCTGCTTCAGTCATCACATGGCCTCCTCTTTTACTCCTACATCATCCCTCGTATAAGGACTGGTGTGATTGCCTCAGGTCCACCCCTTTAATCCAGGATAACATCCTCATGTCAAGAGTCTTAATTTAATCACATCTGCAAAGTCCCTTTTGCCATGTAAGGTAACATATTCACCAGTTACAGAGATAAGGAAATGGAGATCTGGGTGGGGGGGCGGAGGGGGCAGGGTTGTGCATTATTCGGCATACCACATCATGTCTTTGTTTTCTTTGATTCAGTAATTTAGCAGGTAGTGAAATCCTTTTT